CCAGAAAAGTTGGGAGGCTCAGATTTTAGGAGAATATCCCCCGTCCAAATAAAACTTAAATCTTCATATTCAGTCTTCATTTACGCGTGATTCTCGTGTACAGGCAATTAAATTTCTGGCGGAAAATTGCTCATTGAACAATTGGGTTATTTTCAAAAAACACAGCTAAACGGGAATAGTTTATTTCTTTTTATGCAAAATTTACGATGGTTTTCGGCTTTAAGCAGACAAGGTAGGTGTAAAGAAACAACCGTTCATGCAGTTAACCTAATTCAAGTTTTGTGCTAAAACGCATGATCGCACCGGCTCGCCTGGTGCGTTCCAGCCTGGGTTAACGAACTGAAAAAGGCGACCGCTAAATCTGCCGGTGAACGGTAACATGTTATAAGTGTCAGTTTTCTGGCTTACTTCACTTCTACAGTCTTGTAACCCTATAACTCCACCTATTTCCCTCCTCTCACTAATCCTTAACACTTCGAGCTACTTCCCTTCACTCACTAATTTCTAACAATTCTACCAAATTCTAAATAATTCCATACTATCTACCTTCTCACTTACTAGCTACTTTGCCTCCCTTTTCCCTCCATTAATTTTCCCTATATATGCTCCTTCCAAAAACTCAGCTTCTTAGTCTTGGAATCAACGTGCTTCACTGGTCTGCCACGTCCCGCCACAACTAACTCTATTAACTGGCCGCCTCGACACGACTAGCGTCCCCCTTCTGCTCAATAGCTTGTGCGGTGTCCCGGCTCGTTTTATTTGAAGTGAAGCTTTTGTTGGAGAATAAAATGCTGGCACTCTTCGCTGTCTTCCGCTGCTGCAGCCAAAGACCACGTGAAGGCCTAACAGTCTCTTTAGAGTAGACGCATCTTCTTGTAGAGTGTTGTGGTCAGGCCGTTTATCCTGTTCACCTTCCCAAAAGACCCGCAATCAAGGCGCACTTATCAGTCAGTGAGCGTAACCGTATCGTTATGCGTGAAGAATCGAAATCGATCAGAGAGGGAAAACCGGCAGTTCTTGTAGACCTCGCGGTCTCGGTCTGCACTAATCGACGAAGTTCAAAGACCACTGTGAGCTCTGTAAAGCTGTACTGGTGCTTTTACTGTTCCTAATAAATTGCCGTATTCTTAGCTTGTGTTCTAGAGTACGACAAAGAGCAAGAAATCACTTATCTAGGTAATATTTATTCTGCCTTCTTTCTTTTTTCATAGAAGTGCAATGAAGTAATGGTGTATGAGAACTGGATTAAATTTTTTGGAAAGAGCAACCTCGGCAGAAAATTTCGGTGCAAGCATAAGTGTTAAATCCGGCGCCCATAAGCCTTCTTTGATTAACGGATTGAAACGCTGTGTTTTCGCCGTGGTTTGGAAGTACAGTTCTCGTTTTGTGCGCAGAAAAACTGGATCGCCAGTGACCGGTACTGGTACGTCAACTCGGTCATCGGCACACAGATCAGCTGCAAATTTTGCCGCCAAATCGCCGTTGTCCTCCTGCTGCAATTACATTCTGTTACGGAAGGCAAACTGATTGTTAAATGCGTTTTCGACTACACGGCACCTTGAAGGCATGGATACATCGACAAAATGAGAAAAATCCAGAACATTTCAGTTATCACAAAAAAGATATCATCGTTCTATAACCAATGATGCTCATACCTCTTCATCAGATGCTTCGTAAAATGCATTTTCGTTTGCAGTAGTTGGCTTACTCTCAGGTAGCCGATGACGTGGTGCGCCAAACTGTAATAAATGGGTAGGCGTTGGTGTAGGAGAAGCTGTAGACTGCGGTGCAGGCGTGGTGATCAGAATCTAAAACAGTAAGCTAAAACATTAAATTAGAAATTTGGCCGCTAAAAATAAAAGTGCTTCTAATTGTTGCTCAAAAATGGTAAAGCAACCTGTTGTTTCTGCTGCTCAAAAAACTGCGCAATTCTTATGGCAATCTGACAGAGCTCATTGCCCAATACATCCGTGACTGCCTGCTCGATAACTGACCTACAATATAGAGCTTTCTGATAAACATGAAGCTGAAAAATTGTTCATAAATGTGTAATAATTGGCCAACGCACGGGCCGCCGTGCTGAGATGTGTTTTTTGTATAGCTGCCCGCAGATCTTTGTCGCTAGCGGCGCTGGTTATGCGTTTTTGCCGTGCAGCGCTAGAGTGCTGCAACAGACAGCAAAAACGCATATTGCAACGACCCTGTCAGTGTGTGTGTGTGTGTGTGTGTGTGTGTGCGTGTGTGTGTGTGTGTTCGTCTGTCCGGGTATTTCAACTCGCTAACCGCGCAAGCTTTGAAGCTGAAATTTTGCCAGTGTGTTCCCCAGCCAGATACCACCCCAGAACCGCAGTTTCAGCCTTCATGCACGTCTGGGCCCGGCGTACGAGCACGTAAAAGTTTTGGCGCGAAAATCGATAATTCGGGAACGAGAAAAGCTAGAAAGCTGAAACCTTGGGAGAATGTTCCCCACTCGTATACGACAAAA